GGCGCGACACTGAGGGTTGCGATCTGTTGCCGGTCACGAAAAAAGACAAAAAGGAAAAAAAAAAAACAAAACTATAGCATATACCAACTTAAATGATTCTCTTATGAGTTCTTGTTTATTCCAGAAAATCCAAAACAAAATGCCCAGAACATTGATGCCTTCAAGTAGCAGCTCAGACAGCATTAAACAGCCCTAGAGCTGCTGAGAGTGAGTGACTAGGGAGGCTGGATTGATTACCAGGTGTCTAGTGGTTTTGGACAACTCCATCGTTTTCTGTGTAGATCTTGAACCCTAAAAGTCTCCTCAGGATGGCCACAAAACCTACTAAACTTCAGAAAATTCATAAAGAATTCAAACTGGTCACGCTAGACCACATGTTAATTAAATGTTTAGCTGGTTTCTTTTTCCCCCATCTACAGAAGATCACTCCTGCTCTGGCCCTCCACAAGGGATGAGAGAAGCCATGGTTTCTTCTTTGCTATAAAGGGCTCCCCGCTTTCTAGAGCTCTGTTCACTTTGCTGTATCCTCAGCTCTCTGATAATTTCAGAAAAACAGAAATTGTAATTTGTTCATCTTATTTGATTGTTATGGTTATTGCAACACCCTCTTGTAGTTTTAAAAATCTCAACTAGAAATTCACCCTTTAATTTTCTCACAAATTACAAATCTAAAAAACTAAAACAGCCACGTTTCAAAACATCTAATTCAGCCTTGAGTGGGCTATGCACAAGGAGAAGGTGCAGGGGAAGTCATGCTGCCTTGCAAGGGATGCGGCCTGTAAACCTGGCTCCTCCATCATGTGGCAGTGTGACCCAGGACCCCGAACCACAAGGTCACACAGAGACTCTCCAGCACCTGTGGGTGGCAATCCAACAGAGCCCTGCTCTAGAGTTGTTCTTGGCCTTACGGGCAGAGGACGTCCCAGATGGTCACTAAAAGTCGCCCAGATACCTTCAGCGCTCACAGGGCTCTCGGCAACACTGATCTGTGACTCAGTAGTTACCAAAGCCTAGTAGAGCTAATCAGTGAAGCAGACACGAAGTGGGACTTGATTTCAACTGTCGTGGAGACATACCGAGTACAGAGAAAACAAACGGCTGCTTTGGCGTGCCGTGAGGACGGGCTAAGCTGTGCCCAAAGACCCCACAAACGAGCGCTTCTTCCTTCTTCAGGCGGCGCATCTGTCATGGCTCAGGAGTGGAGCCGGAGCACATTGGGAACACGGGTGGTTGTCAGGCAGAGGAATGGAGAGCCACATGTCAGCTCACACATTTCAGCCCAGCAGGGACACACGCCGTTCCATTCACATGTCATCGGCTGAAGCAAGTCACACGGCCAAGTCTGACACCTACAGGGTAGGGAAGTGCCATCTTCCCGGGACGGGGAGTGGCAGACAGTACTGGTCACACTTGCCTTCCTAATACCGTCGCACTTGCCTGCGCTTTTTGTTTATTTGTTGGGATTTTTTACATAGACAATCATGTCATCTGTAAGTAGAGATAGTTTTATTTATTTTTTTACCAGAAAATATCTCAGAGAAGCACCCCAAAAAGTCTTAGAAGAAAAACTAACACATTCTGCAGTGAAAAATTATTCCTTTAAGTTTCAGTTTGAAAATGTTGAGTTGAATGCACAATTGATAATGAGTGTTCTTATCTGCATTTTGTAAAACCCTGAGGAAACCACCTAACGAAGCAAAGACACGATGGTCACTGAGAAGAAAGCCCCCGCAGGGCCCGTCTCAGACCTCCCGTGCAGAGGGGCTGTGTCTTCCGCGTGGCTCTGAGGCTGCTGGCGCCGGGGCTGGGAGCCGGAGGCCTGGCCCTGTCCCATGTGCAGCCCCTGCTCAAGGCCCTGCTCTCTGGGTCTCGTGTCCCTCTATCAGATTGCGGCTTTAGAGATGCTTTCTATGATTTCTTCCAAACTCCATTTTTATTTATAACTATATAATCTTAAAAGATTTTCAAGGAAATTGTTATTCTTTTTTTTTTAAAAGATGACCGGTAAGGGGATCTTAACCCTTGACTTGGTGTTGTCAGCACCACGCTCAGACAGTGAGCAAACCAGCCATCCCTATATGGGATCCGAACCCGTGGCCTTGGTGTTATCAGCACCACACTCTCCCGAGTGAGCCACGGGCCGGCCCCGGCCCAGAAATTGTTATTCTTTGAAAATGTTACTAAATACTTCAGAACATAATGTCGAATTGCCTTTCTGCTTTTTGTGTTTTAAACAATGAGGAATTCACATGGAAAAAAAAAATTTTTTTTTAAAGAGTGTATTTGATCTCGCTGCTTTTTACCGGGTGCTATTCTAGTCCTCTGTTTGGAACATAAAAATCATTTCCACAGCAACTAATTATAGTATAAGTCACAGACGCTGGGTTCCTATTGCTGGTGGGGAATTAGAGGCAACCATTGTGCAAATATTAAAAGCTCCTTATTTTTGTAGTTCTCCCAAGAACTAATACAGGCTAATAAAATGCAGGAAAGACATATATGGCTCAGGTTATCTACTTCATTTTAGTTAGGTTTTGGTAGTTTATGGTTTTCAAGACATTGGTCCATCTTTTCTAACTGCTGAACTTTTGAAAAAGTTGTTCCAAGTATTCTCTTATTACCCCTCTGATGTCTATGGATCTGTAGTGATATTCCCTGGTTCACTCCTGATATGGATGATTTGTGTCATCTCTATTTTTGTTTTTTCTCAGTCTTGCTAGAGATTATCATTTTTTTTTCAAAAAAATTAGATTTTGTTTCATTGATTTTCTCTATTGTTTTCCTATTTTCCATTTCACTGATTTCTGCTCTTTATTATTTCATTATTTCTGTTTGCTCTGGGGCTATTTTGCTCTTCTTTTTCAAGTTTCTTGAGATAGGAACTTTTTTTCTCCAGGGGCAGTAGGCACAGAGACTAGGAGAAAGCTCTGGAGCACAGCGAGGCTGGGGTCAGCCATGTGGCCATGCACAAGGACCCCTAGAGCCCCTGAGCCCGTCTTCCCTTGCTGAGGGGCAGGGTCCTTGCCTGCTGCTTCTGGCCTTGGACCCCAGGGCCAAGTGCATCTGTAGTGTAGAAAGGCCCCTTGGGGCAGGAGATGAGAAAGGAGACAGTGAGGACCACTCAGGGAAATCACCAGAAATCAAGGGGAGACGGCAGGGAGTACAGAGTCCTCAGGGGGAGAGGGGCTGACGGGCTGAGCGGGGAGGCAAGTGGGTCGGAGTGCATCTTTATTTACCTACTGACCCATCCGCAGACCGTTACTGAGTGCCCAGGAGGGGCAACACGGTCTGGGCACTCTGGGAGCTCATGGTGTGGGGGAAGGCCAGAGACTGATGACATCACCACCCAGCAGGAGAAGAGGAGGCCAGTGAGGACCAAGCACAGATCTGGGGGGTTCAGAGGCAAGAAAGAGGACCCTGGGACATGTGGAGGTCACTCATGGTAAAGGGCAGTGTCGCAGAGGATCACGTGCAGGGCCTGAGGAGGAGGGCAGAGGGCGGGAGGGGACAATGAGAGGAAGTCCCTGGAGACAGCAGGTGGCGACACGCCAGGGCGGTTCCTGAGGCCCTTTCCTCTCCAGCACGTGAGCTCATCACGGCCATGCAGTACGCCTCTTCCTGCACCTGACAGGCGTTCCAGTCACTGTTGTTTCCATCGCTTTCCCTGCTGTCACCATCTGAACGTGATTTGCACAACTACTCTTTAAAGAAAGTCCAGCTTATTGCACAGTAACATTCTCACTCCTGTTGCTTAGAACATCTCTTCTGAATTTTATTATTTAAGTAAGAGTCTTGGGGAGTGGTATATTTGGAGAAGAGATGTTTTCTGATCCAGAGGAAAGTCTGAATTCTGTACTAGTCATTCATTTATTCGACAAATCCTGTGAGCCGCAGACTTTGTGGAGCTCAGCAGGGAACAGAGCTGATGAGGTCTTGCCCCCAGGAGCTCATGCTGTAGCAAGAAGGAGACAAATGGGAATGTGCACTAGATCTGGGAGCGGCAGTGCTGTGAGGGAACATCAGGACAGGGTGGTTGGGGAAGGTCCCTGAGGACAGGCCAGCAGGGTGGACTTGGACAAGGCAAGGGAGTGAGACACACAGATATTTGGGGAAAGAGCCTCCTGAGCCCAAGGCAAGGCAAGGCTGAGAGAGTTGGGTAACCCACGTGCTTGGGACAGGCCAGGCCAGCTAGAGAGGGAGAAGACCAGGGAGTGGTGGATGACGAGGCCAGAGGGCAGCCAGCACCTGCCTTCGCAGGGCCCACCACCTGCAGGGAAGATGGATACGAGCAGGAAGTGCAGGGGCTTGAGAACGCGGGTGTCCCTAGTGGGGCCCTCCTGACAGTGATGTCTGTCTCTAGGGTGACTCCTGAGAGTGAGGGCAGAGGAGATGAGGCAGGAGGGGTGAGGTGGGAGGTGAGGGTGAGGCCTGAGGTGAGAGGAAGGTGGTGCCTGCAGCTGCCATGGAGGGCACAGTGGCGGCCCACCCTGTCCCCTCCTCTTCCTCGCAGCAGAATCCTGATTTTGTCCATGCAGTGACTACCTGGCCCAGGTGAAAACCCGTGACTGTCTAAGCCAGCTACAATCATCTGTTTTACTTTTTCTTAAGTGCTACCTACCAGCCTCCCTTGCAGCCAGTGCAGCTGCACGAGCCGCTCTGGAAAGTGGGGTGTAGCTGTCGCCTGCCACAGACTCCAGCACTGGCTTTCTCTCTTCCCAACCACACTCATCTGGAGGGGTGCATGACTCACGCTTGTTATTTTTCCAACATTTCTATTGCATTCTCTAGCGATCAACTTCTTTTCAGAAGAGACATCAGTTCTTTCATAATTAGGAAACTCTTGGCATCTTAGTTATCTACTCTTCTTTTCAAAATGATTAACTATTAGAGAAAGATGTAATTTCTTTCTTATGAAAATAGCCTTGAAATAACTTCAGGCTTTCAAAATCATATCAGCATTCCTGGCAGATCTGATAATATTGTGAGCTCATATATCTTACCACTGTGAAGTCAGGGTAGAAAATACATCATCTCTTTCAGATTCTTGGAATAACTTCAAAAGTTCTGGATCCTCAGATAAATGTGCAAGAATGCGCAATTCAATCTGTGAAAAGTCTGTTAGGTAGAGTTCTGTGTTAATTCAGACTTTACCAGTGAGGTCCTTTGTTGCTGCTCCCTCTTCCCAGCCACCTTCAGACTTGCCCCCCTCTGTGAGTCAAGGTCAACCATCCACCCCCCCTCTGCCAGGGTCCTCCGGCCTCAGTGCCACTGGCCACCCCTGTGTCTGCAGGCCCACAGACCCTTCTGCTTCCTGTGAGGCTAGCGCGGCCTCCACGGTTGGCCGTGTTCAGCCATTGGCTCACGTGCTCACTCCTGGGCTCTGTACATCAATATTTTAGAAAGGGCCTACTATGTGCTGGGCTCTGTGCTTGGGATATGTCAGTGAATAAAACAGACAAAATTCGCTTCTCCCATGGAGTTTACATTCTAGAAGGGGGAGGCAGACAACTTGAATCAACTATTTGGTATGTCAGAAGGTGAGAAATGAAATGGAAAACATTGATCAAGTTAAGGAGGTTCGGGAGTGAGTGAACGAGTGTGTGTGTGTGTGTGTGTGTGTGTGTGTGTGTGCGTGTGCACGGATGTTGCTGTTATAAACAGGGTCATCCACTACCTTGCTTATAGGCCTCATAAAGAAAGTGACATTGAGCAGAGGCACAAAGGAGGTGCGGGAGGGGGCCAAGATGACACCTGCGGAAGAGAAGCAGGCTGGGTGGGGGCTGAGCTGGAGCTAACTGTCATGCTGGGACACAGCAGAGTGGCCAGCGTGGCTGGAGCGAGTGAGTGAGGTGGGGCGCAGTGGGTGGTGAGGACGGAGACAAGAGGGGCAGACTCGGTGGAACCTGCAGGGGCATGTGGGATCTAGACACAGTAAAGTGAGGGCACCTGGAAGCAAAGGACCTGTCACTAGAAATATTTGTTTCGCATAAACATTTGCCTCAGGATGTATTTGAAAAAGAATGAGTTCTCTACCCCTGAATTATCAGTCTTTAAATATTTGAAATGTATGGGAACGCATAAAGTGAGCTACAGTGACACCACGTCTCTATGGTTGCTTGCAGGTACCTGCTGCCAGGAAGGTGTGGCCTTCAGATGAAACAAACACGGCCCTCGGGGTGATCGTGAGAATCGCGTCGTCTTTACCTGAATTGTTATTTCAAAATCACTTGGTGCATTTGGTCATGAGCTGACTCATAGCTATTCCTCAATACAAAATTATTTTAATATCATTCTAAAGTTGAGTCGAGATTTTGAATTTTTCTGAATATTTTTATTAATGTAATTTAAAAATAACATATTACTACTGAAAGTTAACTGGACTTTGTTATTAAAATTTTCTGCTCTGTCTAGAGTTTTTTTTTTCCTTTTTGTCTTTTTTACTGACCGGTAACGGGATTGCAACCCTCAGTGTCACGCCCGTACCGGGGACCGGCAACGGGATCGCAACCCTCGGTGTTGCGCCCGCACCGCACTCAGCCAGTGAGCGGGAACCGGTCTCCACATGGGATCCGAACCCTCGGCGGGAGCGCCACCATGCTCCCAAGCGGTGCACTCTCCAGTGCGCCACCGGGCCGGCCCCTGTCTAGAGTTTTTAATGAAGAAAAGAAAAAGTCAAACATTGACAACTGAACGCATTCCAGTGAAAGCAATCTTGGGACTCCCTGCGCCTCAAGGACTAGATCTATGTGGGGGAAGCCCAGCTGTGATTTTTCCCTTTGAAGACGTTTTAAGGGGCAGTAAGAGACAAAGTTGCTTACGATCTCCTTCCATGGATCCTGAAGTATGAGTATGTGTGTTTTAGAAGAGTGCACAGGGCCGGCCCGGTGGCGCACTGCTACAGTGCGCCGCTTGGGAGCGCGGCGGCGCTCCTGCCGAGGGTTCAGATCCCATACAGACCGGTTCCCGCTCACTGGCTGAGCGAGGTGTGGGCGCAACACCGAGGGTTGCGATCCCGTTGCCGGTCCCGGTCCGGTACGGGCGC